CCAGGGCTGGGAGAGGGGCCCTGGGCTGCTTGTGCCAGGTCCCCAGGGCGCTGCCACCTCGCCGGGCACCGTGTCCCCCCCGCAGGCACCACGCACCTCCCAGGCTGCTCCGCGCGCCTCCGCCAGGCCGTAATCCCTAAATCCCAGCGGGGAAGTCCCGGACGCCCGGGCCCACGCGCGGGGCCTTGCAGCGCCGCAGCCGCCCGAGGGGAAGAGCCGCGACTGCCTGTTGGTGCTGGCGCTGCGCGACGGCTCCAGCACCACGCTGTGCGCCGAGAGCGAGGACGACGCCGTGTAAGCGCCCCCGGGGCAGAGTTAAGGTGACCACGGCAGTTACGGTGACAGGGGCAGAGTTAAGGTGACAAGAGCAGTGTTAGGGTGACAGGGGCAGAGTTAGGGTGACAAGGGCAGAGTTAGGATGACAGGGGAAGAGTTAAGGTGACCACGGCAGTTACGGTGACAGGGGCAGAGTTAAGGTGACAAGAGCAGTGTTAGGGTGACAGGGGCAGAGTTAGGGTGACAAGGGCAGAGTTAGGATGACAGGGGAAGAGTTAAGGTGACCACGGCAGTTACGGTGACAGGGGCAGAGTTAAGGTGACAAGAGCAGTGTTAGGGTGACAGGGGCAGAGTTAGGGTGACAAGGGCAGAGTTAGGATGACAGGGGAAGAGTTAAGGTGACCACGGCAGTTACGGTGACAGGGGCAGAGTTAAGGTGACAAGAGCAGTGTTAGGGTGACAGGGGCAGAGTTAGGGTGACAAGGGCAGAGTTAGGATGACAGGGGAAGAGTTAAGGTGACCACGGCAGTTACGGTGACAGGGGCAGAGTTAAGGTGACAAGAGCAGTGTTAGGGTGACAGGGGCAGAGTTAGGGTGACAAGGGCAGAGCTAAAGGCACCCCAGACCGGGAGCACCCAAATCCCCCCTGTCCCTCAGCACCATCGTGTCCCCATGTCCCCCCGCCAGGCAGGGGACAGTCCGTGTGGGGGGACGCAGGCAGGAGGGTCACACGTGTCCCCCAGGTGCACGTCTACGACCCCTACGATGACGACTACTACCGCTCGCCCCCCACCAGGCCGCCTACGTCAGCTCGGGCTACTACGGCAGCCCCTACGGAGGTGGGCGCCCGGCTCCCGTCCCGAGGGACGAGGGGGCCAACGCCCGGGTTGTCCCCGGGTCGCGCAGCCGGCGGGCTGAGACCTGGCACGCTCAGTGCCCCTGGAAACAGGTTGCATTGGAGGAGGTTGGGTTGGACGAAGGATGGGTCGGACGAAGGATGGGTCGAACGAAGGATTGGGTGAAGGACGTGCCCCTGGAAACAGGTTGCCTTGGAGGAGGTTGGGTTGGACGAAGGATGGGTCGGACGAAGGATGGGTTGAAGGATGGGTTGGGTGAAGGACGTGTTGGGCAGATGTTAGGTCGGGTGGAGGTTAGGTTGGGTGGAGGTTGGGTTGGACAAAGGATGGGTTGAAGGATGGGTTGGGTGAATGAAGGGGTGGGTGGAGGATGGGTTGGGTGGAGGACAGGTTGGATGAATGATGAGTTGGGTGGAGATTGGGTTGGGAGAAGGATGGGTTGGGTGGAGGTTGGGTTGGATGAAGGATGGGTTGGATGAAGGTTGGGTTGGGTGAAGGTTGGGTTGGATAAAGGATGGGTTGGGTGAAGGACAATTTGGATGGAGGTTGCGTGGAGGATGGGTTGGGTGAAGGATGGGTTGGGTGAAGGTTGGGTTGGATGAAAGATGGTTTGGTTGAAAGATGGGTTGGGTGGAGGTTGGGCTGGACGAAAGGTTCGGTTGGATGAAGGATGGGTTGGGTGAAGGTTGGGTTGGGTGGAGGTTGGGTTGGATGAAGGATGGGTTGGGTGAAGGTTGGGTTGGATAAAGGATGGGTTGGGGGAAGGACAGTTTGGATGGAGGTTGGGTTGCGTGGAGGATGGGTTGGGTGAAAGATAGGTTGGATGGAGGTTGGGTTGGGCAGGGTTGGGTGGAGGACACTCACAGGGCCTCCCTAGGAAGGAGGAGAGGAGCTGCCTCCCACAGGGACGGCTCCCCAGTCCCTGTTTTTTGGAGCCGGTGCGTCCCCGGCAGCGGCCGCGTTTGGTCCCGCAGCTCCGGGCGGCACCCGCGTGCTGGTGCGCGAGGATCCCTACCGCGTCTCCGGAGACCAGATGGCCCTGGGGCTCCTGGCAGGAGCAGCCCCCGGCGCCGCGCTCGGCTCCTTCATGTGGATGCCCTGCTGGTTCTAGGGAGCCGCGTGCACCCTCGGGACACCCCAAAACCCTCTCTCCACCCCCAATCCCATCAAACCCCGGGATGCACCGGGATTTAGGCCGTTTGGCTCCTTTAAACTAACCCCCCTGGGGGCAGCAAGTAGGGAAATGCGGCGGGCGCTGCCCCCCGGCACCGTCCTCACCCTCCTCCTCCTCCTCCGGCCTTCCTCATCCTCCTCCTCGCATCGCCGCTGCTGACGCCCCCTTCACATGAACCACGCTGGCTTTGGCAGAGAGAAAAAGGGGAAAAACAAGCGGTTACGGGATGGCTAATAAATACAGGATGGCTAATAAAGGCTAATAAAGGCTTCCCGGCCCGCGGCCCGCTCTGTCTCCGTGTTCCACCGGTGGGAAGTGCTCGGGTCCGGCGGCTGCCCCGTTTCCAACCGCTGCCCTTTGCCGTTGCAGCGGGGGGGGAGGGGTGCTGAAGGCCCCGGAAGCCTCCGCGTGGCTCCGTCTGCTTGGGAAAAGGGTAGGTGGGTCCGTGCTCCAGCCCTGGTGCAATCGGGAAGAGCTGAAATTCCCCCCAAAGCCTCCTTAGAAAAAGCCTCCTGCAGCCTCCAAAGCCAAGCCAGGAGGAGGCTGGAGAGGAGCGAGCGCGTCCCCTTCCCGCGCTGGAGACAAGACCTGGAGCCGGGAACCAAGTCAGTTCCAGCACCAAAGGTTTTCCTTCCTTTTCCTCACCGTCCTTCCGGATTACGGGACAGAGGTTCCAGGGACACGAGGAAAAGGAAGCGCTGACCCTGAGGAGCCTCTGGGCGGCTGGCAAAGCCCTGGGGACCCTCCGGGGACATCAGGGCCAGACCAAGGGCCAAGTGGCCCTGGCTCCTGCCCACGCCGAATTCGCGGCCTCCTTTTTGGCACTTCTGCTAGAGAGAAACCAGCCCAGAGCTGCCCCAGCCCTGGAGAGTGTCTGGGAAAAAGAAAATCCAAGGAAACAGCAGCCGGACGGAGCATTTTTCTGCAGAGCTCCGCACAACGCGGGAAAAGCAGCCAGGTTTCCTTCCCCCCCGCCACAAGTTTCCTTTAAATAACGAGCCCTCCTCCGTCACATATCATCGATGTTTATTTCAAGACATGCCACGTCCAAAAAAAAAAAACCAAAAAAAAGAACAAAAAAAAAGGAAACTCGCCTTTAATGTTGCGTTATAAAAGCACTTTACGTCTCCCCCTGCCTCCGAGTTATCCTTGCACGGAGCTGCTGCCGCCAAGAAGGCAGAAACCCCCGCGGTTGGTGCCCGCTGCCTGGGGAAAACGCTGGGAATGGGGACGATTCCCTTCTCCCTCCCTGCTCGGAGGCGCAGGGGAGCCCCAAGGAGGAGCCTGCGGATTTGCCGGACAGGCTCTTCCCAAAACTCATCCCCGCGGCTGCCGCGGGCGCCCGGCGCACGAGGCGTTTACAGGGGTGTGGATGAACTTACACAGCGACTTCACAACGACTAGGAGGGTGAAAGCGGGTGCACTTCGAGCGGGGCCTCGCGCCGGCGCTGCCCGGGAGCTACTCGCGATGCCGGCAAAGCCCCTAGACAGGTTCCTCCGCGAAAAGAAACGGGGGGGAAAAACGGGATTGCTGCAAAGAGTAAAAAAAAAAGACGGAGCGGAGAAATAAATATCACGGAAAAAAAAAGGGGTTAGCGGAAAGCCCAGGTAAATAGGAAACTAAACTGCTAGGTGTTTAACCAAACTGTACAGATCTAGTGGGGAAAAAAAATAACTAGACCAACTCGGAAGACTGAATGTAAAAAAAATGCTAAAAAATAAAGGCATAAATCTGTAATCTTAAATTGGTTTCCATCCTATTAAATCCCTTCCTTTCCATCTAAGCTCTTTCATCTAGATTCCCGTATGATTAAACACCCCTTCTCCCAGTCCACCTACGGCCATGCTATGGAAAAGCCAAATTCCTCCTGTCCCTGCCCCTCCGGCCAGGCCAGGCCTGGCCTGTCACCATCGCGTTTCTGTTAGATTTTTTGAACCATTCCGTCATCTTTTTTGCCAAATTTCAGAGCCTCCATCAACTTAGGCTGGCTCCCGAATTCATGGAAAAGTTTTCTCCCTTAAAAAGCAGCGAAACGCTTGGAGCCACCGAAACGTCACGTTCCGATCGCTCGGAATGGAGTTTATTGGTGGTCTATGTAAAAGGAAAAAAAAGAAAAAAAAGCTGTTAAAACTCCTCGTGCACCCAGAACGTGCCTCCGTGTTCCCGGCTAAGCGCGTCCAGCGGCTCCGCGGCCCTCCCTGCGCTCCCGGCTGCCTCTGGCACCTTCCCGAACGCGGAGCCGCGTGCGGGACCGGACCCCCCGCGCTGACGCTGGGTCCTAAAACCACGGGGGGGCTGAAAACCGGTCAGACTCTCTCTGCTCCAAAGATTAAGAGCCTGGGTTTGAATTTTGTTTGTTTTATTATCGTACGGGTAGTGTTAACCCTTGGCACGTGCCTCCCTCTGCTTGCATTCCCAGCCGCTTTTCCAGGCTGTTCGGGAAGCGACGGATGCAAGCAGGATTCCGCACAGACACCTCAGCTAAGTCCGATCCCAAACTTGCTCAGTTCCCATCATTTCAAAGTGCAATATCATAACATATTAAAAAAGGAACAAATATTAAGAAATTGTACCTATCTTTTTAAAGTTATACCTAGAATATGCTGGAATATTTTGGCTTTTTTTTTTTCTTATAAATAATGAAGACACTGACATTTTCCTTTGTGTGTGTGTGTGTGCTTGTGAAGCTAATAGATCATCTCCACGAGACAGCCAGCGATGATGAACTGCGATACGTTATTACTGGAAGGGGAAGGTTCAAGCCAATATTCACACTGCAGTCAATGGAGAGTAGAGGG